CAACGGTGTGCTGCCTTGACATGTAAATATATATTTATAATAATATTAATATTATTACTGATTACGAAAAGCAAATACCAATTATTTACCATCTTGATGAGGATCTTATAATTACCTAGAAAAGATCTGCTCCGCGTTTTGATTTCAATTAAAATACTTGTATAAATAAAAGATATATCAATGCAAATTAAAAAAAAGTACTTCTGGTCAGTTATTAACACGTCTTCAGGCAGGTACCAAACAACAACATGTCATTGTTAAAAAATAAATTGTTTACCAAAAAAAAAAAACCCCCAATCCCAATAATGGTGTTTGTTGATCATTTTATTAGCAGCAAGGTGGCATATTGTTAATAATTTGAGAAGAAAATTAAAAGATATTGCAAAATAACAAAATAGAGGTATCAGAGTGCTATATAATAAGATAGATTGGAAATAAAAGAAATGATAGGATAAAGTGTGTATTAAAATTTATTTGTAGTGCTGGTGAAAATTAATCTGCATGAATAATTTTATAATTTTAGCCAAAAAAAAAAATTAGGAAATTTTTGGAAAAATGTTCTATTGGTTGCTTTACTTTTGGACTTTCATTTAATAAAAAGTACAAAAATAAAAAATAAACCAAGAAAAAAGTTAGGTTCTTTACTTTAAACAATACCAAAGTTTTAAAGACAAAAATTTCCCTAGAATTTAGCCAATCTGGCCTGCATTAAATTCAATAGTATTATTATTACAAATTCTTTACATAAATAAAACATACACCTGCTACTATATATTAGCAATAATCTACCATACATGCAATAAATGACACATTGTCCTTCCTTTTTTAATTATGCCTACAGTTCCATTTTAACATCATCTCAAACTATGTATATATCTAGCTATTCCCACAATGAAATTGTACCATCCCAACCACAACTTGCAAAAGTATTAGTTAGTACTGGATGCCAACAAATATCTGTACATACTTCCCGATGTGCATTTTCAATAATCTTGATTGGATGTGTTGTAAACCAATCATAAAATATTATTCTACCATCAGCATCTCCTGATGCTAAAAATTGACCTCCTTTATTTGATTCTAGTGAAAAATTGCATCGTATTGGATATCCATTTACATGATGAGATTCAAACCTCTTACAGATTTTTTTTAATTATTAATTAGTGAATGAAGATAATAATAAGAATATGTTAATTTTAAAAAATTTAACTACCTTTCTTTTTTCTAATTTCCAAGGTTTTTCAATACCAAAAATTGCAATATAATTTCCATTGGATTGAGCAACAAAATGATTTTGTAAAGGATGGATTCTTAATGCTGTACAAGAAAAGGCTTCTTGATAAATTTGATTTGAAATACTAGTCATCTTATATAAATTTATATTATTATTCCATGAAGAAAAACAAAATAAAATATAAAATCATAATATAACCTACTGAATCAAAATCCCATACAATTATATTCTTATCAGCCGCATTTTTAACTACATAATCTGAACATGTAAGTAATTTATTGCCATCAGGAAAAAACTCAAGATCATTAACACCTCCCCAGAATTTTTTAGTTTCTTTTATAATCTTATTGGATCGTATGTCCCATGATTTTATTCCATCTTTCATCATTCCTGAAACAAAAATATTAGTTTGGGTAGGATGAAAACGAAGACTAGTTATAATTTCTTGATGTAAAAATGACTAATAATAGAGAAATTTATTAAGAATTTATTAGAAAGAATTGGAAGGTTAATTAATAATAATAATAGTCTTAGTGTTAGTAGTATTAATAACAATTACTTGAATTGTTTTTCCTGCTTCAATATCACTCAACTTTACTATATTATCAAATCCACCTGAAAGAATATTATTATGATTGAAGTCCCATTGCACATCCTTAACTGCCCCTATCATACAAATATTTTTAAAACATTAGAAAAAATTATATTGAAATCAAATGTTCATAATACTTAAATAAAATAAATATTTATTATATACACCATTATGTTGAATTGTTTGAACACATTTTTTTGATCTAAAAACATCCCAAATTTTTATTGATCCATTCATTGATGCAGATGCCAATACTTGTCCTATAAAATATAAAATAAATAAATATGCAATTTTTAATAAGTGATAATACTATTAAATACAAAAAATAATTATTATACCAAAAGAGCCACACCATAATATTGAAGTTAAATGATAATCATCATTTTTTGTTGAAAAAGTATTAATTTTTCGTTTTGGGATTATACTAAATTGTTTCATTAATAATTCTTTATCAGGTTTTTGTGGTTTTTGCAATCGCTTTTCAATTTTATGAGGAAGATCAAGCAACAAATAAGGTTGTTTTACATTATTTTCTAAAAAAAAAAAAATGGTTTAATTGTGATACACAAATATATGAAATTATTAAGCTTTCTAATAATAGATGCCTTGTTTCAGTGATTGATCTTGATTAAGCCTGTTATTATTGCTGCTGTTGTTGTTGCTGTTATCTTCTTCTTGTTGTTGTCGTGTTATGTTTTTTTTAGAAACATATTTTCTTACATTTTTAGAAAAAGTTACAACTGGTTCTTGTTTCTTGATGTTTTTTTGAAAAATTGATTCATTGTTATTATTTGAAGAATTACCACTATTATCAACATTATCATAAATTGGACCATAAAGATTTTCTAATTTTCTTTTTCTTGGTTGATTTGTTATAGCATTGGTAGGAAATGATAAAGTTTCAGACGCATTGAATTTTAATTTTTTCTCTAAATTTGAAAATTCAAAATCAAGAACAACTTCTTTTTCACTATCACTGTCACTTTTATATGTATTATATAATTCATCCATTTTCTTAAACTATTACTATTTACTTTGTCTGCGATTAGAAGTCAACAGTCTATTTCTTGTTACACAATAATAATGGAGGAAGGACCCAGACGGTAATTATTAATTCGTAGTCCGCCGATCAACGATAGAAAAGCCCGGAATAAAAAATTCATAACCTTGGTCCAAAAACCTATATACTAAAATAAAATAATTATTATATATACTTATTATACAATAGTGATTATAAAAATATAAAAATATAATAATTTTTAAGGAATTTTATATTAGAAAAGTTAAGTTTTGGATTCTATTATTGGTTATATGAAATTTCTTGGCAGACCACGAATTAACTTTAAAATTTATAACATTTATTAATATCCACTCTTATGATAAATCTTGTCATCACATAAATAAATTCAACAAGTGCATATTATAAAAAAAAATATATTGATGTATTGTCTGTTAAAGAAAATTAGACATTATATTTGTATTCTAGTTATTATTATCTGTATGGATAAAAGATTGATCCTACAACTGTGACATCATGATCAAACCATTCCAAGAATGGTATGATCAACATAAAATGGTCAGGCTTCACTTGGTGCAAAAAAAAACAAAAATAAAAAAAAATAATGGTTTTTATTGATGGTGTAAAATATGCGTGGTATGTATTGTTTATTAATATAGCAAACAGTTTTTATAGAAGAGTATATGTAATATTAATCTAAATGTTTTTTTTTTTACTATTACTTTATTTCTTAAAAGCGCAACATGCATAAAAGGACATAGATCAACATCATGTCAACATAAAGATAGAGTTCTACTTAAAATCAAAGGAAAAGGTCGTCCTATTACTCAATGCACTCATTGTCGTGAGCTTCGTAAAACTCAAAGAGTTCATATAAAATGTAATTGTGTTGAAAGAGCAAAGAAAGGTTAGTTTAAGTTTATTTTTCACGTATGCATATTCATATATTGTTAGTTATGACAGTTGATAATTCATTAACTCTTTACTCATCACAATCCAAGTCAGATTTATCCATAAAAAGTTCTAGTAATGATTCTTTTGATTTATTAAATAAGATAAAATTAGAAGAATCATCTATAAATTTTGAAAATTTGAGTGATAGTGATAAATTAAAAGGTGAAATCAATAATTGTTTAACGGAGCTAGGCTAGATCGACTAGATAAATTTATTAAAAAAAATATATAATTTTTTTATTGAATAAATTTTTTTTCTTTTATAGTACATTCATTATTAAATCCGTGCAATTGTTTAAGTGGTGACAGGTGTATTTGCTGTAGAGTACTTGAAGAAGAAGAAGAAGATGATGATGAAGGTGATGAAGAATCCATCTCACCAGCAGAAAATTCAAATCAAAGAAATCACAGCGTTAATAACAATGTTGATTATAAAGATGACAATTCACTTGCAAATACTTCTTCTTTTTCATGGAATATTAATAACCACCATAGCAGTAACTTGACAATTAAATCAGAATCAATGGAATCTACTTCTTCATATTATAACATTCCCAAACAAAACTTACAAGTCAATGCAATAGAAGGTGATTCGCTTGCTCAAAACGCAAATCAAAAATATTCTAACAAAATGGAAGAGTATGATGAAAAATCAGGAGACTTAAGTGGCGTTTTAGGAGCTGAATTATGTCGTGGCACATCTGACGAGTTGGTTAATATGATTTATAGTTCATTTAAAAGTTGTCCTTCGGCTAATAAAAATGGAAATTGCTGTGGTTCTAGCTCAAAGTCAATCTGTAGATGTGGCAGTGGATGTAAATGTGAAGGATGTAATTCACATACATTAAGAGTTGATGCGAATTCTCAAGTACAACCTAATCTATCAATACCCAAGTCATGTTGTAGTACAGCTCATATTATTTCAAAACCTAAACATACAGTAATAATAGATGAAGATGGAGTTCCTTTATGTGGGTGTGGTTGCAAAAAGCCAAATTCTGAATGCTCTGATTGTGTTGAAAATTTATGCGAAGGTAAATTTTTTCAATAATATATTTTATATAAATTTTTTAATAATTTAACATGATTTTGTTTTTAATAGAATATTTGTTAAAACAACAACCAATTTAAAATATATCTATGTTATTACGTATATTCCATTCCAACATATATTATAGTTATTTTTATTTTTATTTTTTAATTAAAGGAAAATTATTAATCTACTAAATAATTGTTATGTTATCGTTTCCATTATGATTTATTATCAATGATTATATAACATTAGTGGAATTAGTAATAAAGTGAACAAAAATTTCAAAATTTCAAGATTAAACAATCAGTGATATTTTGTTCCTTGTTCTATAATAACATTCTCCCTCCATCTTATTTTTTATACATTTGCGAGGGAAAATAGGCAAAGATTATCACTAATAAATTCATTGAACTTGCTATTTAAATATTCACTGGACATAATAAAAAGTGCTGATTATTTCAATTTCTAAAACTCAACAAATAAATAATAAGCTGGACATCTTACAAACGTTAAAGTATGATAATCAGAATGGGAAGTAATTAGCAGAAGCACAAGCAAGAATAAACTAATTAGAACGATTATCAAGTCATACTCAAAACAAAATCCATGGTCAGGATTATTTATTTTAAACTTTGAGAAAAAAGAAATCCTGAGAAATAATTGAAAGATAATTATAACTTATTGACTTATTATAAAGAAAGCAAATCCAATATCCCATTATTTTGCTGGACGATTTAGAAAAAGAAAAGAATAAAACAAATTCAAGCAGGTTTAATTAAGCTTTTTAAGAAAGTTGAGGATTGGAGAAAATTTTACCAACTCTTACTTTATGAAGAAATAGGCTTAGCACATATCACATTTTTGTTGCTGTGAATTAAAAGATGCAGTGATTTAAAAGAGTTGAAAGGCTATATATATACTTCAGGAGAAAAAACGCAAATCCTGCAACCAAAAGAAATAGTATGCAAAAAATTTATAATTTTAAAAAATTTGAAATCGACAGTTAATGTTTTAGATTCAAGAAAAATGGATGCCATAAAATTATTGAAGAACGCAATGAAATAAATGCATATGGATTTAATAATGAGGGTAATTTTCATCCTTTGGGTATTTGTGAAAATGACCATATGGTTGAATTGGACCCAGGTTGAAAGAATTTATTTACAGCAGTGAATGGAGAAGATAAGAAGAATATGATTTATTGCTCAACAAAGGAACGGTATTCTCAAGCTGGATTCATAAGAGCAAGGAAAAAAGTGAGAAGTATAGATTAAGCATAATAACAGTGTGGAAATTATTTTACATAGTAGGTACTTAGCTCGTGTAACAATTCTCTAAACAGATATTCCAGCATCACCATGTGAAGCCAACACCTTGTGCCGTGGAATTCAAAAAGAGCATGCATATGTTGGAGAATATATTAAAGATATTGTTATAGGTAGCATGTGATGGAAATCATATATCAATCGTCAGAAAATATTATATGTGAAAGGATAATGAAGAAAAATAACAGGACAATGGTGGCATCCGGAGATGGGCGATTTTCTAATAATTCTAGAGGTCATGCGTCGAGACCAGTAAAAATGATTGTATCAAGAATTGAAGAAGAGGTGTAGAGCGAGGATGATCGATGAATTTTGGACAAGTAAGATTTGTTCTTTGTGTGATTGGTGGTTTGATTAACGTCAGAAATCCTGGTCATTCCGAGTATGTAAGGATATATGTCTGGTTTGCTATTAGAAACTTTATATTGATATTTTCTGATTTCTTATAGTATGCACATAGACTCACTGGAATCGTGACGTAAACGCCGCTCGAATATAAGAAATATTTTCTTGTCCATAAACTCTACTGGTGGACGGGTGCCAATACCATTTAGAAGAGAAATTTGGGTTCAATGAATAACCTCCCTTTAGTTTATCCATGCCATTGGGGGATGCGAGTTTTTGCAGTAGTTATATTCGTTAACAACAATGTGATTGTATTGATTTAATATATACAAAATTTTTTATATAAAATTAATTTTTTTATAATATACAAATATTATTAATATAACAGCTTACAATATTTAAAAATAAACAAACACTAAATATATATTATATGCAAAACATTTAATGTGACGATGAATTTTTAATTAAAATATGATGCATGTATGTGATTTGGTAAAAGAGTAATGAGTAGTGAATAATAAATAATAGAAAAAGGATCAAGAAGACCTTAATGAATGTAAAGATTGTGGTGATTGTTCAATATATATTTCATCTTCATCTTCGACTGCTTTTTTAAGTTGATGTTGCAATTTATTATTTTTATAATTCTCTATCTCTTTGTTAATTGCATTAATCAATTGCTATCAAAGTATCAAATAATGATTATTAATATTTATATTTATATCAATTATATAGATTAAGTTAAAGTAAAAATAAAATAACTTACAGTTTCGTTTATCGGCTTAGTTAAAAACGCATCCATACCAACTTCTGTAGATTTTTTAACATCACTACCAAAACTATTAGCTGTCAAGGCTAATATAGGTATATCGATACCATTATCTCTTAATAGTTTTGTTGCTTCATATCCATTCATCACAGGTGTTATAATATCCATTAGTATACAACAATAGCCTATATCATCAGCATTATAAATCACTTTGTTATCATTGTTACCATCGTCATTCCAAAACTTATCACCATTATCAACCTTAACATTGTCAGTGCCACTAACTTCAACTGATATTTCATCGTTATTTGGTTTTTGTTTTTGTTTTTGTGGATGTAATAATTGTTGTTTTATAATAGATTTTTTTACCATTTCTATAGCTTCTTTACCGTGATTTGCTAATTCAACCGTAAAATTATTTCTCAGTAACATTTTCGAGGTGACTCTCTGACAAACTAAATTGTCTTCTACCAATAAAACATTTAATGGTTTTTCATGCGATGATGATGCCGCCGGTGGTAATGAATGGTGCGATGATTGTTTTAACGAAGATCTGGATTTGGATTCGGATTTGGATTTGGATTCGGATTCGGATGACGAAGATTTCTCGTCTTTATTATTATTATTGATATCACCATCATCATCATTAACGCTACCATCACCATCAGTATTGTTTTGAGCCACTTGCGCCAAATAGGCGGACATAATCAATGACGGTGGTCTAGGTGCATGTGATGATGGTGGAGGTGTATGAGGCGCGTTTGATGATGGTGAATTTTCTTTGTTTGTTATGGATATTGTATTGGGAAGCGTTATGTGTAATGGATGATTTGATGACGATCGTGGTGAATTGACATTATTACTTGATTTATTATCATCAGCATTGACTATATCAAACGATGAAGTAGTAGAATGATGTTTTAATAATATGGTATTATCGCCATCATTATTATGATTTGAGGTTATTTTTGATGATGATGGTGAAGATGATATAATAGGTAAATACATACTTTGTTGTTGCGGCGAAGAATGATAGTCTTCTTGTAAGTCATCATTTATGGAATCATTATTATTTAAAACTAGCTCCTCTTGTCCGTCATTATCACCAGAATAATAGGTTACGATTGGAGGTAAACCAGGCGATAAGTTTGAAGAATTAATATTAGCGTTTTCAATTAAAGAATTTGTTGTTGTTACTGATATTTCATTATTAGTTTGAATATGATTATGTATTATATCATCATTCGTTATTGGCAAATGTAAATTGTTGTTGTTATCATTATTATTATTTATTGTTATTATTGTTGAAGATGACCCACCAGAACCTAACGCATTATTACTTTTATTATTTACTGCATCTTTTAGCTTATTATTATTACTATTATTATCTTTCATAATTGATTTATTTGCATCTTTTGACGATTTATTACCTAATACTGCCAACATTATTGAACCTTTCCTAATAAAAGTGTTATTTTTACTAATACTACTACTAATACCGCTATCTTTATTATTATTTATCGAATTAGATTGTTGTTTATTAATACTACGGACATCATCATCTGATTCTTCACCACTTGTTGTCATTTTTGATTGCTTTGAGTTTATTTTATGAGGTGCATTTTTATAAGATTTATGGCTACGTTTAGGCATTGCAATTGACATGCTTTTAGAACTTCTTAATTGTGCTTTATTATCAGAATCAATTGTGTCCACTTCTAATACATAATTAAGATTTCTACCATCAGTTGAACTGGGAGCGCTACCAAATTTACTGTTAAATAATACGTAACCAAGTCCATCGCCACCACCACTAGATCCATTTCTACTAATATTTGTATCAAATGATTCTCTGATTGAATATTTTGCATCTTCAGTTAATATCCATATGTCAAACCAAACTCTACTAGCATGTTGAGTAGATTTTGTGATTTTATCAACCGTTAATCTACCACCCATAACCTTAATAATAGCTTGAGCTAATGCCATTGATAAACCTTGAGCATGAAACCTTGACCCAATACTTGAATTTGTTTTCGAGTAAGGTTTAAACAATTCCGAAATTTCCTCGTCTGTACGAAATCCTTTGCTATGATCTTTTACAGAAACTCTTGTTAGAACACCTTTTGATTTACTTTGTTTTAATACCTGTAACTCTAATTCGATAACACTGCCCTCCGGTGAAACTTCAATTGATCTGGCCAACAGTTTATTTAACACTTGTTCTAATCGATGCGGATCGCTATATAATTTTTTCGGGAGATCACTATGTATGATGGTCTTCAGGTTAATCCTTTTACTTGAGGCCTCAATTGATTGGATTTTAGCAATATTTTGAATTAACAAATAAGGATCCATTTCTTCAGATTTTAATTCTATTTCGTAAGGAGAAGGATTTGTCAGATGAGTTAAATCAAGCACATCGTTTACTATGAAATTCAAAAATTTTCCTGCTGCCGTGATATAATCTAATTCTTCGTATTGATTTTTTAAAGACTTTTGTAACATATCTACGAAACCTAATATGGCGTGAGCTGGATTACGAATTTCGTGACATAAGAAAAATAAGAATTCGGTTTTAGATTGATTTGCCAGATCAGCCTCATTTTTTGCTTCGATTACAGCCCTTTCATTTTCTTTTTTGAAAGTGACATCTCTAAACATTACAACTTGAGTGAAATAATTTTTTTCAACAACAGGTTGGGAAAAGTTTGCTTCGGATTCAAAAGTGGTACCATCCTTTCTTCTTGCAAATACATCTTTCATACCAGGTCTGACAGCCACTTCCGATTGATTTGAATCTCTTGTTAAGCCAATACCATTATTATTATCATCAAAAATTGGAGGAGTATCAGGATGAGGTAATAGTAAATGACTTATATGCATTTTATTTTCAACTTTGATGTCGTCAGGAGAATAACCGGTCAATTTTAAAGCATGTTTGTTTGCGCCAACTATTTCACCTTTTGAATTCAAGGCAACCAAAGGGTCAGCTATCGCTTCTAATACAGCCTTACTATCAGCAGTCATTGCTTTGAGTAAACTTTGAGTTCTGCCTAATTTTTGAGTTTGAATGTTAGCCATATCCCTGGTGTATAAATATTTTTTAAAGTATTTAGAAGTTAATAAACCTAAAAAACCAAAAAAAATTATGAAAATGACCAAGGAAATAGAAGGAATAACATGGGGAATTGCCGATTGGTATAAAGATTCCGAGACATAACATTCAAATTTCCAAGCTCTGTCCAAAACTTGGTGCTCAGAAACAAAAGGAGGTTGAGCACGATATATTGTTTGATTTGATTGTAATCTGGAATCAAATAAGACAGAATCGTCATCATCGTGATCTAATATTCGAAGAGCAACGCCAACATCATTTAATTGGTTCAAAATATTTGCAAAATTTGTGTCAATATCATAGATGCCAAATATAACGCCATCAACATCTGAGTCAGGTGGGTTATTTTTGCTAAATGCATTTGCATAAAAAGGAAAAAATACAAAAATTCCTCCGATGCTCGCGTTACTAGCTAATGGTAACTTATTAGTTAAAGTCATGTTTTTTGTTTCTCTTGCTTTTGTAATAGATGAAGCACGCTTAGACTCTGAAAAGATATCATAATAAGTTGCGCGTGGTATAGGATATGAATATTGAATAGGAAAATATTCAGAAGCATTTCCACGATATACGAATTCACCGTTAGCATTTAATTCATTTATCGGTCCATTATCTTTTTCCCAAAGTAATCGCTTATCATTTTCTATACGCGGAGCAAAATTTATAGACCTTATATTCTGTATATATGTATATATATGTATATATATATAAATAATTTTAAAACAAATAATTAGAAGTTTCTTCATTAAGAAAATAAAAACTTAATTAAAATTAATTATAAAAATATTTAATAAAATAAATTAATCATTCATCTAATAACTACAATTTTTGTTTTTTTTTTTTTTTCTAAAAATAAATTCAGATGTCTCCAAAATAATATGAAAGAAATTAAAAAAAAAAAACTTTAAATTTATAATTACCGAATCATCAAATGAAGATAAATCCCCAAAACGATTTACAGCTGTAATATTAATATTTGTAGCAACAGTGACGAAGGCTAGAAAATCTCTTGTTATATCCAAACTATTAATAAAACCATTGATTATAGCTTTCATACGTTCATCACAATTATATAAAATTGAGTCATCGAAATTCTGTTTTTGGTTTTTTATCAATACAAAATAGGTAACTAAACCAAGTAATATTCCTATTAGAAATATTATTGATGGTACTAATATTGTGTAAATCGAATGATTTGTTGGATTAAATTGTCTGCAACAAACATTTCCTATTCTATGAAGTGAAGAATTATCATTAATAAAGATATTTCTATAATATGTGTTTTTTGAACCAGGAAATTTGTTACGAGTGAGAGATTCTTTCTTATTATTTTTGTTAATTTCATAATTTGACAAATTGTTTGTATCGTAAAGATGTATGAAATCAGTTCTAGCTTCAGAAAAAACATCTGAGGTACGTGGTTGTCTATTAAAATCATCATAATTAGACGGTGATTGTATATTTGTCGTTGCAGAAGCTGTTGTAGTATTATTAGTATTAATATTAGTTGTGGTAGATGTAGATATGGCTGTGGCAAAATTAACATTATTGTTATTATCTTTATCATTATTAACTATTGTAATTGCTGTTGATAATTTTTCAGAAAGATCTTGTTGATTATATGCGTTATCGTCGTCATCATCGCCATCATTTTTAATTGATTTTTCAATTATTTGTTGTGTATTTGATGAGGAATCTAATTTACTAATCGCAGGAGAAGAATTATTAATAATATCGTTGTTATTGTTTTCGTTCATTATTTGTCTTAAACCAGGAAAGATGCCACTTAAAATATGAGGAATGCTTCGTTGAGAACGACCACTACTAGCAGTGTCTTTTTTTAAAAGCCAATTAGAATTTGGCATATAATCTAATTATTATGTGTATAATTAATTTTTCTATCTTATTTTAAAAAAGAATTAAAAAACGATAAATTAACGCACTGAATTTCACACTGAAATTTTTTTTTTCTAAAATAAAAAAGGAAATAGGGAATTTCATTCATTTTATTTTTATATATATAGCGTTAGTATTAGAAAAAAGGGAGTTATATATATATAGACATTGTGCTACAAAAAGATTACAGGGGCCAAAATTTGATATGCTGCTCACAATCAACTTCCTAGAGTACAAATGTCCAATTGCAAATCCAATATTTCCAAGTATTATGAGTTTCAATGCATTGCGTTTATTATTTTCTCAGTGGGAAGATGTAAAATGCCTTATAAAAACAACGTCGAAATCAGTCCAAGAGACAAAGTTTTCGTGTCAACTTCGAGCCCACGTGAATGCCAGTTGTGATATTTTAGAGATCGTGGGAGATGTAATATAGATCAAAGGCATATAGTTTGCTATATGTTCTTGTCTTAAAGTCTTTGCATGTTAAATTTTGTTATTTGGATCAATGATAAATATATTTGTTTTATCGATGCACATCATTTGTAATGAAATGCGAAAGAAGAGCAAATTTTATATATATGTGAGAAAAATACAAATTGCACAATCCCCATATATTAATGGCTAGATGTATATGTTGGCGGGAGGGTTTATTTTTAAGGTATGGGTTCTGTTGCCATTTTCTTTTCCAAGCATGCTTTATTGACTTGGTTATCTCAGAGTCGGATAATGGGGCTATTGATGTTATATATTTCTAACATTATTTTGATCAATTGCTTGTAAAATTTAGAATTATATATTGTTGTAAACTTGCAAGGAGAGATTTCTTCTCTCTGTTCGTGCGTGTAACAGTTAAAAATAGTAAACTGGTCCCTAAAAATTCAATCCCCTGAAAAGTTTTATGTGGAGTTATTGTACAAATAAAACGATTTTGTTTGTGTAAAGATTTTTATTAAGAAAAAAGAGCGAGGGACAAAATAGATTGAAATATTTTTGACTACAATTAGAATAGTAAATAATTGACAATGAATTAGCATTTGATTATCATTCCCCTATTTCTTTACCAAAATAATTCATTGCTTGACACAGTTGCACGAATATGATTTATGAATGGGTTTTGGCAATGTATTTATGGCTTGGTCCGAGACTATTATTACAGTTTTCTTGAAATAGTAATCTAACAAAGTTGGATGCGAATTCTTATTAACGATAGATGAAAATATACATAGCTCTGTTGTAAAGGTATTAAAATGAATATATTCCCGGAAGGAAAGCACGGGAGGACATAAAATCATAATAATAATAATTTTTTTTTTTCACCATCCTAACTTTTAATTCTTTCCTGTGGTCGGATGGATAATTAAAGATTCAATATTAAAATTTGAAGAATTCATAGTGTGTGCATGAAAAAAATTACAGCTATTTGTAACCTAATCCATTTATGTAATATTAACATCCGAAATTGTAAAGTTATAAAAAAAAAGTAGAACCGTTAAAAATTTGTCGGGTTTGTCGGGTGTAACATTATTATTTATTATCCAGTCAATTATTGATTTTCTGGAGATAATTTCTAAATTTGTACTGGTTACATGCCGAAAATTTAAAAAAAAATTTATTTTTTTTAAAAAGTGTCAAGTAATATATATAGTGGTCCATTTTAACCATATTTGGTATTGATAGGTATTTTTGCAAATCTGGTTAACCACACAATTTATTATTTATTATTAGTCGTGTGACATGTCAAATTAAAAAATTTGAAATTAATCGTGTCACATGAAGCTTTTTTAAAATATCTCGTTAATTTTATAATAAACTCGAACTTCGTTATTAGAGTAAAAATGAAAATACTCCATTAAAGCTTTCTAATGAATACCTTTTCATACTGAAAGGTCTTCTCTGCGTAAATTCACGACTATTCAAAAATGGTATTACTTTTTCATTTCAAAGCTCAGATTATTGCTTTAAAGACTTGATAGCAGTGTGTAAAATTCAGCGGGATGGTATAACGTTACGCAACCCGCGTGCATACATTTTTTAGAAATTTTTAATTTAATTGTTATAATGAATATTGTATTATCCTTCTTGTTTTTTATTTTTCCAATGCTCTAGTGCTTTTAAAAAATCAAAATTTTCAATTTGTGGTCCATTATTAAATGATCATCTAATGTGTCTACATTCATTTGTTTTCTCATATTATTTTTAATTAACTTTGTTTGAGAAATCTTCTTTCTACATGAGCATTAGAAAGGGGTATAAGAAATCCTATTCTAGCAACTAATAATATATTTGAATTATTAAAAGGAAAATCCTCATCAGTATCTAAATTGTGTTTTCACAACTGAATGTAATTGATTTCTCTATTATTATTTTATAGTACTGAAGAAAAGTTTGTTGAATTTATTCTTATTAAGTTCTCCTTTGTCAATGATTCCACTAAATTTATTTCCATTTGCAAATTTAATTTCTCCATAGAAATTACCTATAATTGCATAAGTGACAAATTTAAATTTTAGTTAATTTATTTTGTTACACCCTCCTGCTGAATTTTATACACTGCTTGATAGTAAATGAGAAGGTGTAAGATACTTTAAGCTTTCATATGGTTATTACTTTATGGTGTTGGTCAATAAATTTTAGAAAGATTCATGAAAAACTATTTTATAGAGATTTAATAGTCTTGAAAAATTTTTATGTAAATGGGATTCAGCAAAAACTAAAAGGTATTTTATTAATTATTGTTTTATATTCCTGACTTTATATTGATTAAAGTTTCATTAATGATTATTATGAATATCCATCAATCAATAGTTGTTATAGCAAAATTAAACAATAATATGCAAATGATGACAACGAATCATCTTATTAAGATCCAGTTTGTATAGGAGTGATCAAAGTAAGCATTAAGGACAAGATCTATGAACAAAACATACTAATGAACATTTTATCAATTATTCAATAGTTTGTATAGGAGTGATTGAAGTAAGTGTTAAGGACAAGATTTATGAACAAAACATATTAATGAATATTTATCAATTATTCAATAGTTTGTGTAGGAGTGACTGAAGCATTAAGGACAAGGTCTATGAACAAAACATACTAACAAACATTTTATCAATTATTCAATAGTCGTATAGGAGTGATCAAATTAAGTGTTAAGGACAAGATCTATGAAGCCTGCAAAGCAAGTTTTACATTTTATCAATAGTTATGTTTATTATTTATTTATGTATATAAATTTCTCTTTTATTTTAACTTATATTTAATAACATCACTATGATAAATAATTAAATGAATAAAGTCAGAGATAAAACACTATTTAATTTAATCATTATTGTTGCTTGTTTATTATTCTAATCTTTATTTATGTATATAGGTAAAGAAAAATTTTAAAATCTATTAAAAGACATACCTAAGTGATCAAAAGTCTGTAAATATTTTTAATTGGACATTTATTTCTGCTTATATTTACAATTGGACGAGTCAAACAAAATTTTACACATATGAATATAAAAGCAAAATTTGACTTTGAGGGTCAGATTATTTTTGGTTTTATTAACAATCTGCCTTAAATTTTCTTAAAGCAGATACATATTATAATCTCAAATTTGGTGGTGGTTGCTACACAGAAAGGGTATCAAACAAGGGTGTGAAGACATTCGATTATAAATTTTTACTATATATATATATATGTTTTACAACCTACTATAGATCAGTGGGAAATGTCGTGTGGGTACAAATTATGAATGAAAATTTTTTTAAATACTATTTTATCCACTATTACACTATCACTGACATTATTTCTAATATGAATTCCCAACTGTCATTATTAGCTAAAAAATATTTATGCATTGCAGCAACTTCTATTCCAAATGAATGTCTACAGTCACAACATACTATAATTATTGTATTCTCTGGAATATAAGCACCACCATTTTGACATGTTTTGGTCAACAAAACTGTGGGTGGTGCTTATATTCAAGACATTTTATTTCAGATAATTTGTGTTACATTTATATCGGGATGAAAATGAAAATGAGGAAGATGAATGTGAAATATTAAATAGAAATGATGATTCAGCTAATGAATTAGATGAATTAGAAGAGGAGGAGTCTGGTGACTCTGGGAAAGAATAGTCAAAATAAAAAAAATTCTTATTTTTTATTTATTATATAAAAATAAAATCAAATAAAAAATAATTTTGAAATATATGTGGTGCTTATATTTATTTTTCTATTTTTTTGTTTTTTTTCATTGCAAATTCATACTGGTGCTTATATTTGAGTGGTGCTTATATTCCAGAGAATACGGTAAATAACAGATTTTAAATGAAATTTCCCATTCATTCATTGTGGCAAGGTTTGACTGTATTTAGTGAAGCCGGAAACATAATGACAGCCAAACAAACAAAATTAAATCTATTGTTATTTGAAAATATTGTATTTTTTTAAAAAATATGCAATATATTGAAAATATTTTTTCTGATGAATAAATAATTGTTATATTTTTGTTAAATTTATTGTTATATTTTTTTTAAATAAATTTAAATCAATGAATATTTGGTTGATATTTTGATGAATGACCAATTATCTGGGTGTTGAGCTTTATTGATTGACCAAGTATTCAGACAATCAGATACAATCACTAATTTAATTACAAAAAGGTTTACTTGATTAGAGGGACTAAGATAAATTCTACTTCCTTGCTGATCAGAATGTGGAACATGAACATTTTGGGCTCAATCATTACTATAATTAGCAGTGGCATCAATACTGCAATATTGTGTTTTACCCTTTGAATAATTTTGATTAACTAATTTTCTTTGTTCTTCTGCTCATTTGGTATTTTTATTATAATAATTTCTTTCTAATTTGGCCTTGGACAGATGTTATTTAAATCTTTTAAGCAAATCTTTAGTTTCTTCCTCTTGGTGAGCATTATAATGTAAACCATCTCTAAAATGTTGGCAAGAACCACACAAGTCAGTTCTTGGACTCATAATTTGAATCTCTGGTGTCAGTTGATGTCATAATTTTCTGAAAGCATCATACTTCAAAGATTTCAAATTACTATCTTCTTCCAGACCAGCTAGAAAATCTCTGTGGACCAATTTATAACTCATTCCATCTGGTAAGAATACAATTGATTGAGTTATTCCATTGTCACTTCATCCTGGGCTTGGTAATCCATGGACTTTGGCATAATTTTCTAGAGAATTCTTTACTACTTCAGCCACATTTTTATCAATCACCATTTTAGTTTTCCATTGAGGTATTTTTTTAATATTACCATGAATTCTTGGTAGAAGACCAATTTTTATCAGGTGATTCCTGATATTTTCAAATTAAGTTCTGCCAATTCCTAACATATTGAGATAAGTTTCTTGACAAAGTAGTGTATTATGATCTCAATGGTAGAAAGTTCTTTTATTAGATCTGGTTTTCTTTTTAAAGTGTCTACTAGTGCTTATTGATCCATCATCAATTGCCTTAAGTTGGACCATTAAAAATATGTTTTGTTCTGATTTAGAAAGAACTTGAAAAGGTTCTCTTAATTCTGCAAATTTTTCCTTGGGAATCTTTGAAGAACAACCATAATTACATCCTTTTGATATTCATTAGAACCATTATGCTTATTATTCATATACACTTATCCCTCCCTATATATAATTTTATGTTCACTTTGCAGGTTTTTTTATAATTGTTTTAATGTTGGAGATATAAAATTAAACTTAGATGAATTAGTAAAAAAAAGAGAAATTTGAAAAATTTAGTTAACCAATCCCATGAAAAACAATTGTAGTCTGAATTTAATTGTCCTCTCATCAGCAATCAATATAAGAAAAAACAAACAGTAATTTTATTTCATTAAATAATAAATAAAATATTTCATATTTACTCACTATTATTGTTTGCATTTATTTATTTCATCAGTAATGATTAATAAAATATAATCTTTGTCAGTGAACTGTTTGTGGATTGTTATTCTATTACATTGCAAAACTATAAAAAATCAACGCTATGTGAATTAAAAGCCAATAAAGAGAAGGATTAAAAAAAAAAGGAAATGAAAAGGTTTAATATTCTATAGAAGGCTTCCCTAATGGTTTTTTGACTTTTAATATATATAAATTAATTAAATCATTATGTGTTTTCTTTTAGTTGAATCAAAATAAATAAATGTTACTTATCTTTTTAACCTCCCTTAAATGTAAATGTTTTTTCTCACCATCATATCAATATTTGTGATTATTATGTGTTGTCATTATTTGTATATATTCCTTTTTACAAGGTGTTAGTAAATAAATTGCATCACCAAGTAATAAATAATGGGGTTCACAATAATAAATAGATAAATAGGGAGGGAGGACCAAAAAAAAATATTTTATCCTTTCCATTGTATATATATTAGTTATAATTATTAAAAAAATGTCGCCATTTGTCATTCTAGTTATATATAATGGAAATGGTGAATTGATAAAAAAAAGAAAACCAATGAAGGGGTAAAAGAAAAATGGTAAATATTGTTAGAGGGTGGTTGTTTTTTTACAAGCTATTCTAGTTCTTACAATAAAGATAGCTGATAAGTTTTAATAATTTATACTATGAGGATATCTTCAAAACAAATAATAAATCTTGATAATGACAATGATGATGAATTCCCCGAATTGCCAAGTGTAGAGGATTTATTAAATAAAACCACTACATGAAATGAAAAAAAAAATCCCCATGTTGGACTACAATGCTTTAAAAAATGAAACATTGGACTATGATGTTTTAAAGAAAGATGAAACATTAGAAATTCCAGGCGAGTTGGTGTTGGCTTACTTGTTAAAAAAATACTATCCAGCAAAAGTTACCAATTGAGAAGGCGTGATATTATTTTATTTATTAGTAATTATTTATTATTTATTTAATTGTTGGTGATATTGTATGTTTAACATTTCAATATTTATTATAACTATTTATTTATTTATTAAATAGCCTGGAAAATATCATGTCCTCTTTTGGGATGAATCAAAAGCAATATTTAGTAGAAATGAATTTTATACAATTTGGGAAAAAGGATTTGTGACTTGATAAGTCGAAATGAATCACGATAAGTTGGTTTCACGTGATATTTCATTATGTGAAGGGTCATCATTACTATTTTAGTAATGATTTAGCGAAATGATTATTTGTAATAGAAATATCTGATGTAAAAAAACTATTTTTATTGTTCATTTTTTATAATTTAGAAGGAAAAGAGCATTCTCACTTGTGAACTACATTTATATTTTATTACTTCCATCAGTTATAATGCATAATCACACATTCTTTCTTTACCATTTTTTTCTTCTCTGTAATTTTAAAAAGAGAACTTTTTTCGTTTTAATTATTTGATGATTTATCATGAATAATTAATATTTTATCACATCATCATTGATTGTATCGTCTAATTGCGAACAATACATCTATATTTTTTATCCCATTTTTATATCATCACTTATATCATTGATTATATCATGTGAAGAAAATACATTTGTATTCCTATTAAATTTTTTTATGTTCAGAAATATGTATAAAAAGATTGATTTCGCAACCTTCTAATGTTTGAAAATAAAATAAATATTTTAAAAAATTTTTAAATTTAAAAAAGATAACAATAAATAGTGTTACCTTATGATATAATATTATTTTATGGTCTTTTTCAAAAAAAATTTTTTTTAATAGATTCTAATAGAATATTTCAGCAATAACTGAATGAATGGTTAAAAAGATCTTTAGATATCAAAATTGAATAAGAAAAATATAAAAAGAAATACAAGAAAACATTAAAGATCATTCAGATGAGCTTGAACAATTAATGATCCCTGAAGATATTTATTGGAAGGTAAATAGTTGTTATTGAAATAATTAAAATTAATAATAATTTTCTCTTTAGGACCTTGCATCAAGATCATGTAAAGCTCAATTACCAATTTTGGTCTCTTATCCTGATGATCAAAAAATTTAAACTCGTTTTGAAGCAATGTTTGAACATGAAAAACCTGGATTTGTCAGACAACATGAAGGTCAATGTATACATCAATATTCAGGATGAATTGGACCATTAGTATGTCATGATTGTTACACACTTTATTTTTATTAATACCTACTAATTAATAATTCTTAAAGTGTAATGAAGTAATTAGAAGTTGTTGAAGTGATAAAGCTAAGGGTGTTAGATCTGCAATGTTTGAATATTTAGAGAAAATTGTTTAACATATATTAATACTACTGTAGAGCCAAATGATATTCAAGTATTTAAAAATTCACATAAGACAAAAAAGCATTCAAATGCTTATTCCAAATTGAAGATAGATCACAGTCTTCCTTATGTTGATGCAACAAAAAAAGACATGACTTTTACTTTAGCTGTTTGTGAAATTGATTGTACATCCAAAAATATCTGTTAATGGTAATGTTCTTACAAAGCAAATATGAAAAATATTGGGTAATTATTTTTTAATATTCTCACTTAATATTAATTATTATTTAATCCTTTCCTTGAATGTGAACACCTTTGTCTCTGCCATTGTATCATGTCTATTACAAATAATTGCATCACACAAGTAGAAATGGAGCCAATTTTTAAAAAGTCCAGATGAGAAATTTGGCAAAGTAGGAAAATAGACTCTTGGTAATTTTGTAGAAAATTTTTAATGACTCTGGTTAGTTCCTTCGTTTTGTATTGCATACAATTAATTACAAGCCTTGAAAATCATTTCCAAAAAATAAAATGAATAAATCCAATATTTATCCATGCTGCCCAGATTAAAATTGCTGAATCCCGAGTTTCAAATTTGAATTTGAGCAACATGTATAGGTAAGTACCAGATTTTCCTTTCACAAGCATGCAATCAAGATGCAAGCATTCCTCATTATTATAGAATTTCCTCCACAGTGAGGAGAATGTTCATGTCGGGAAGCATTGGACAAGTGAAAGGCTCATTGAATAATTGAGTGGTTATCTGAAAAAATATCCACAACCTCCAGAATATGTCCATCACATAGAATTGCAATTGCAGATATATTTTTGTGGATAACTACAGCGTTTTTTGTAAAACGTCCAAATTTGGATTTTGAGTCACATAACTACATATAAATAACGCATGATTATCTTTACTTTTTTTAACTTTTACAACATACTATACATACTTTAATAACTTATGACGGTGAAACTTACTTCACTTCCAAAAAATTTTCAATTACCAAAATCAGTTGCCATTCTGACATGTAATTTATTTGCATTTATATTTGTTGCAGGATTATACTTATCAAAGAAAACCAGAATTGGTGACAGACAGAATCATCTGTTGACAAAGGATCATCCAAGAGTAATTTTAGAACGTGTAATTAGTGTAGTTATAACATGTTTCATCTCTGTGATAATAATATGGAGGTTAATACTAAACTATGAAGGATTTAGTGAAATGGAGGTAGTTTTTTGTTTAAACAACAAAGTTTTATACTAAATTAATATTTAATAATAATAATAATTTTTGTAATTTTTTATAATTGTGATTTAGTCACTATTAGATCAGATATCAATAATATTTACACTTCTTGGATTTAATATGCCTTCATCTTTTCACTATATAATCAATCTGATTTTTCTTCCACTATCATTATCAATGATATTATTTTTTGGGCCATTCTATATAAAATATTTAGATAGAGAACTACCTTTTCAATCATATTTCAATTGGAAATTGAATGTTTTTAATTATTTGACTAGCTTGATAGGATTTAGGAATGTAATATTTGTAAGGATTTGTGAATTCTATGAATATTATGAATTTAATTTTTATAAAAAAAATTATAATAATTAATATAATGAATTAATGATTCAAGGCACCATTTACAGAAGAATTTGTTTTTAGAAGTTGTATGGTTACACTTTTAGCTTTAGCTGATCTATCTCATGCAAAAATTGTATTTCTTACACCTTTTATATTTGGAATGGGTTAGTTAACTATTTCATTTTCATTTTTATTTCATTTTCATTAATATTTTTAATTTAATTTTTGTTTCTTGAAAATTTATAGCACATTTACATCATGCATGGGAATATTATGTTAACCATGGAAGAACTAAACAGGCTGCAAAAATAGGACTTTTTACATCAAGTAATAATAATCAAATTAATTATTTTTATCAAAACATTAGATATTATATATTATTTATATTATAAATTTGGAAAAAGTATTTCAGTTTATTTTCACATCAATATTTGGATGGTATGCAGTTTTTTTATTTATGAGAACAGGTAAAAATATTAATCCAATCAATCAATCAATCAATTTTAATCTTATATTTTATTATTAATAATTATTATTATTAACAGGAAGTTTTTTGCCGCCATTTTTATCACATTGTTTTGGAAACATAATGGGATTTCCAAATGTTAATCTATCAAATTATCCTAAAACAAAAAAAATTTGTAAGTAAATATATAAATAATTGTATTATAATTATAATTTTATGAAGTATATTAATCTATTAAAAAATATATATGAAAAGTTATAATTGCAGCATTTATATTAGGAATGCTTAGTTTTGGAATATTATTATTTCCATTCACTAATCCAAAATTATATGGGGAAGATTCTTTATATTGGGAAAATTAATAATTTTATTTTATTTATCTATTTATTAATAAAAATCATGATAATGATATAATGGTTTTTTGCCACTTGTTTGTCAAAAATTAAAACCCAAAAAAACCTCTAAAAGGTAGTACAATTGTACCCTGTCTATTTGCATAACATATATTTGCATAATCTGTCTATTTGCGTGTTTCATATTGGGACCTATGAGCTGTTTGCATAATGCATATGCACCAAAAACAGTCCTGGTTCTACTACATATATTACCTTGTAAATTTAATTTTTATTTTATTTTATAAATTTTTATTTTCAAAAAAAATAATCTAGAGTGCTTTGTTCCAAGGAATCATTATAAAATTTTCATTGTATTTTTTACACTAGTTAATTTTTTGATCTCATCTGGACAGTCTTTATGTTGCTACAACAAGCAAGTCATACCTTTTTCTAAAGCTTCTAACCCTTCCTTAATAGGAATAGCAGGTAACTCACTTTCTTCATCACTATCTTCTTCCTCATTCAGATTTTCGTCACTGTTTTCCTCTGAACTTAATTAATAATTGATGCATCACCTAAAGGCTCTTCTATTTCACTTTCTTCAACAGGGTTTAAAAAACTTTCTGTTGTAATAGGATTTCTATATCTATAAAATAATAATAGCATTAACATCAAGAATAATAAAAAACCATATTTTAAATACTTACCTTAAGGCCACAACACCCTCTCTATGTCAGCAATTAATTCATTCTCACTTCCTTGCTCTATTTCTTCTTCATTACTAAAATTAATAATACCTGTATGTCTCCAACAATTAACAATGGTATTGACTGAAACACCATCTGTCCAAGCAAATTTAATGAATTTTATAGCCTCTAAACATTAAGTTTAGAGGTATCATGTGGATTGTCCTCAAACTTTTTAAGAAGATAATGAACAAATTTATAGCAATAATGTTTTTTGAAAGAGGCAATGATTCCAGCATCACAAGGTTGAAGCCTTGATGTGCAATTAGGTGGTAAGAACTTAACCTGTGTATTTTGCAATTCCATTCCTCTAACTATATGACAGGGTGCATTGTCAAGTAGCAACAACACTCTTCTACCATTCATTCTTTCATCAAATTGTTTTAACATCTACAGTTAAAGCATTTTATAAATAGTAATTCATAAAGCAAACTATCAATTGTGAATATACTTGTATACTACTTAATCTTGAAACAAAACTGCTGTCATCCATGCTTTACCATTTGCTCTATAGACAACTCCAAGACTATTCATAATGATTTTTCCTATACATAGGGGTTTTAAAGATTTTCCAATAATAAGTGTTTCTAGTTTATCAGCTCCATCAGCATTACAGCAAAGTACAACAATCAAATGTTGTTTATCCTTTTTTTTTACCCTCAAGTTGTTTGATTGCTAAAGTTTTATCAGGTTCAAGTCTATGGTCATTAAATTTCATTAGAATTTATTAATATTTTAAGTATGTATAGTTTAGTATTATACTTGCTGAAAGAACAACCCAGTTTCATCCATGTTATATAGATCTTCAGATTTAAAGGTGCTAATGACTGTTTTCAGATCAGGAAAGGTATTTTCAATTGCACTAATATCAGCTGAACCACTTTCTCCATGTAATTGGTATCTTTTCAAATTGTTTCTACAAGTGTGATAATGTGTTATTGATAAGGTTAATAATCCTAGTTCAATATAATACAGAAACATACTTATTCTTAAAGCTTTGAAGTCACCCAGTGGAAAATGACAATGTATCATCAGGTATATTAAGCATCTTTGCAAATGTTTTAGCTTTTTCAATTAAGATTAGGTCTGTTAAAAGAATGTGACCTTGTGAATGCAAACACCATTCTTGGAGTACATGTTCAAGTTCAGGATACTTCACACTATGTGTTTTTTTTTGCTGTGGGTTTGCTTCATTGTTTAAATACTCAGATGAACATTTGAATGTTCAAGAGATAGTTACTTGATCAGCCTTTGCACCAAGTTCTTGTTCACACCAAGCAGTTAATTCTTTTTGAGTGATTTTTGGAACATTTTGCTTTTTTAAACAATTTTGATGGTGTTGTTCATTGTTTAAAGTAACTTTTTTCATTGCTAGTAATGTGATGATGACAATATCTATGTGAATAAATTTAACACTTTATAATTATAAAAATTATTCTAAA